CCAGAGGCTATTAGCGGTTTGCTACTACTTGAGATTTGTTTCCAAGTTGCTGACAAGCTGCGAAAGTCGTCATCATCATCATCATCAAAATCAACATCATCAACATTATGAGCATCATTACGAAGTGAACGATTATTATTAGAGGAGAGTGTGATTTGATTTCTATTTGCGCGAACTCGTAATGCCACGCATTGGCAGCCGAAATTGAATTATAGCCAAAGAAATGTGATTGACAAACATTTGATGCCAATTTGGCCCAATATAATTGCTATCAGGCTATTTGCCATAGCCAACTGTCTGTTTGTTTTTCGGCTTAGTTTTTTTTTTTTTTTGGTGACATAAATAGCGCCACTTGACCAACAACTCGTGTCGTGGCTGCGGCTCTGTCGGTGTTTGCCTCGTTGATTAACAACTTAGCCAAGTTGCGTCCTCGAGTGACTTTGATTTGAGCGCATATGCAACATTTGGCATTTGGCATTTGGGCAACACGTTTGCCGAAGTGTTGCGGCTTGTTAATCAATTCAATTAATAACATAAACACATCACACAAAACAACAACTGAAACCGAACTAACGCAGTGAAAGTTGCGTTTGCTTGAGGCCAGTTCGATCGATTTCCATTAATCAGTTTTCTATTTCACTTGGAGATTTTTAGTGTTTTGGAATGCAGCGACAAAAAGAAAAATAAAAAACAAAATAAAATCAAAATTAATTATAGAAAACAGCAACAACAAACTGTCAACTGATTAGCCTTAAATAATGCGTCATATTTATAATTGAAATTAACATATATTGCCTTGTGATATGTAATCTGGTCGAACTTGTGCAGCCAGTTCGTGCCTTAAATCTTTCGTTTAATGCTTAGCATATTTCTGGGCAGGTTTCGGTGTTCTTTTTTTGTACACTTGCAAACATATGTATGTGTAACAGAATGTGTTTCACAGTAAATTAGAATAACATTTTGCACAGTTGCTGTGTAGGCTTCTATCTGATTTACTCCCCAAACGAATATTCTTTTGAATGTGGATATTTGAATATTTGTTTTACTAAAATCAATTTTTCTATGCATTATTTATGTACAAACAGTCAACTTTATCATCGACAGTTATTTGTGTTTATTTTATGAAAATATCTGTTAGAGCATTTTATATTCGTCATGCTAAATTCAACTGTTTATTCTCGTTTTCAAAATTAAATTTAAATTTGAATTAATTAATTCTTTTTTTTTTTTTTTGGTTTCTAAAATGCATATATGGAAAGTCACGGCTACAAATATACATATATATCTACGTCGCTGGAACAGATTAGCAATCAACTTTCACAAGAATCAAGCCTAACAAGCTACACAAGTTTTGTTTTGGCTTTTTATTAGCTAAAAAATATATAAATTACAGTCAAAGTCGAGGTCAGGGTTCAGATACAGCGCTAAGCGCTTATTTGTCAGAAGCTTGTCGTGTTTATTGTCTATTAAACTTGATACCTAAAACAAATACAAGCACACACACGCACGCACACGCACACACACGCACACATGTCCAACAATTGTGTTTATAGTCAGTACAAACATTGCCTATAAGATCATATTTCTTCAAGATGGCAAGCAATTGTAAACTGATGGCCGTTTTGCCTGAGCGGTTTTTTGGCATTAGAAGGCGATTGGGTCTTGTCTTGGGCACCGTACTTGAGACTTGTCCCATCAACTTGTTATGTTATGCTGTTGTTATTGTTTGTAGTGCTTGTTGTTTAGCTTGTTCAAAGCTTCATTTGAACTCAGGTTCAGTTTTTTTTTTGTTGTTTTGTTTTGTGGACCCAGTCCGAGTACAAATTGCAAATTGATTTGTGGAACGTAAGTTTGCCAAGCTTGCAATTCATTTAAGAAAGCTGCCTACGCATCTAACCAGTTGCCAAGAAGCACCTGTACAAAAACAAAAATTGCTTATTTATAAATGATTTGCAAAAGCTTTTACAGTCATCATTCTTATGTCTTTGTTTCGCCATTATTAGTTTTACATATTGTGTTACTTAAATAAATAAATATTTAACGGCAAATAGTCGCACCTTTTGTTGGGCCTTCCGAATGATTTGCATATGCAGCTTTCGCAGCAGACAAGCATAGATTTCGCTGCATAAATTCCATCTGTCATTGTTAGCGAAATTTTGCGTGACTTTTATCTATTTTTTTTTTGGGTTTTCTAAACCCCCATTAGTGCAGCGTGCTTTGCTTAGAAAAATGTGCGCTTAAGGTCGCTTAGCACAGCTGCTGCTTAACATGCGCCCAACTGATTGATTGTTGGCCAATTGCGTCATTTTTGATGAGCGATTACGCTTATGGCAATTTACACGAGTCGCTTACAAATTATGTGCAGCTGCTGCTGCTGCGATGGCATTGAAAACAATTCGTTAATTCGAGCCAAATAATCAAATGCCAAAAACCAATAACAGCGATACAATCAAGCTATTTCCGATATTAAATGCACTGCAATAAGTTTAATTGCAAGCATGTCACAATTTACTTGATAGATATTACGTAATTTGAAGGTTATTACTATTATTATTTAGAGAGAAAGAGAGACAGAGAGGGAGAGAGAGAGAATGCGAGAGGAAGGCTTAAGGGAATTTTAAAACTTACAAACCAAAAAAATATATCTAACTTTAGCTTTATAAGCACATTTGACAGCAACTCGTTAAATGAATACGTAAATCGAACTCGCACAGATAAAAATATATATTTATCATTTATTTGAAGAGGCGGCACGAATTGGAAGGGGGAGGGGGTGAAATATATTGCCAAGTGTCAAAAGTTTGATGGTAGTTATTATTTATTAGACCCCAAAACCAAATTTGCGAGAGGAAATTGAAATACTCATTGTGTTGTTAAAACATAACAAACAAAAGACTTAGGCAACGAACTTGAGCTGTAATAGTATCAATTACAAACTAAGTACTGTTTGCGAAGCAATCGAAAGCATTTTGGATTGCAATCTGTTAATCTGAGTGTTGTTTATAATCAAGTATTAACTGCTGCGCACTTCACTTGATTCAAGATTCCATATGGAAAATACCATAACCAAAATAACTGCATAAATATACGAGTCGATTGCAAAGCGCTTTTATAATCAAATAAAGCTTAGTTCTGACTAGTTGTTGTTGCTGTGGTTGTAGTTGTTGTTGTTGTACTTGTTGTATTTCTATACAGAGAGCTTACAGAGTGAAGATGCGCCCCAAGGTTTAATTCACTGAACGAATGTTTAGGCAAATCTCTGATTGAACATCGCTCGTTCTCGTTCTCTCCTTCTCTGTCACATCTCTCTCTCTATATCTCTCTCTCCCTCTCTCTCTCTCTCTCTCTGACTGTGTGTGTGTATTTCTAACCAGTTTTCCTAACCAAAACGTATTCGGCGCCCGCATATTAGACAAACCTGACGACTGGTTTCGCTCTCCGCATTTACACTTTTTGTTGTTTGATACACTTGTGAAGAGTACAACAAATTTGTCCTGAATCGAGTAAAGTATATGTACATATACATTCTTGATTAGTAGCCAGGTTCTATATATGTTAAATGTCATAAGAGATCGAGGAATGATTTATTTTCATATTCGAAAACAACAATTAAATATCGATCTATATTATTTCTTTTAATTCCCATTAGAATAGTGTTATTGTCTTCAAGGGTATGCAATCTTCGGTGTTTTGTTCTTGTGTTGGGATTAAAATATTTTAATGGCATTTGGTTTATTGAAATTCTTTGTGTCATATCGTCAAAGTATGCTAATAAAATGTAATGTATGCATGAAGAAAAGCTTCTATTCATTTTGCGTGGTGAGGCTTACATCAAATACTTCTAGCGCTCTCTGTGTGTGGGTTTCGGCTTAGTTGGCTCGGTGTTGTTAGATGCATGCAGATGCCATCCGGTTTTGTTTGTTAGTTGTTATTTTGCAGCTGGCGCTCGGCAGAGAATTGCCAATGTGGTTCGGCTGCATTCCAGACATGACTAATTCCAAAGAGTTATTACCCTCAAGGTCATTTGTTTGTTTGTGCGAGTGTGTGTGTGTTGTTTTTAAGTTGATTTTGGCATTGCAAGTGTTAAAATGACTTGCGATTTATTTGATATCGACGAATCGAAATTCGTTAGCTCATTTGCTTAGGGTTGTAACTTAAAGTGGAATTTCCAGATTCAATTCTAAGAGGCTGTCAAAGTATATATACAATCAGACCATAAAAGCGCCGACCTGCTTAAAAGTGTTGCCAACAAAACCCTCAATTAATTACGTGCAGATTCTTTGGACAAGACAAGACAAGCGAAGCAACAGCAAAGCGGCCAACAAACAATAACAAAAAACAATCTTCATTTGTTTAATGAAAGTATTTAAATATCTCTGTTCCTGACTCAGTGTCGAAAACTTTGCCGCTGCGAAGTCAACATTTCTATTGTGATTAATGATTTACAAGCAGGCACCAGAATTTTTGTCTTTATTTTTGGCCAATCTTTTGTGTTGTGTGTTTTCATCTTTGTGGTTTTGAAAAGAATTGCTCTTTGATTTTAGAAATGATCTCATCTCCTCTCAGCTCAGCTCAACTCACATGGGATGAGTATTCGTTACTGCAATTATGAATGCTGAATAACCACCGAAGAACAACTGTCAAAACACTTGGCAAAAATCAGATAACTGTACATTTACATAAATGTCAATTTCATAACATGAATGGGGCTGGTCTGAAAATAAATACAGCTTGGACCTGCTTAGCAAATTTTAAATTATTAAATAAATAAAAACACGTTTGTGTTCTGACTATAACATTTAAATAAACACAATACAAATCTGACGATTATAAATTTTATTATATTTAGAAACAGAATCATCCCTAACGAGCGCTGAGTAAGTATCTGCGGTATTGCTTACTTATTGCTCACTGTGATATTCCTCGAATACCAAATCCGTTTAAGAAGAGGGAAAAGCGCGGTGCAATAACGGGTAAACGTGAATTCCTTTGAAGCTCACCTTCGAAAACGGCAAACGGCTGCAAAAATAATGCGATGTAGGCGGTGATAAGTTACGAAAGAAACGCCAAGCGCAATGTTCCAAAGGGTGAGCTGCAACTCCTGATGATGGTGATGGTGACTGTGACGGGGCACTTGAAGACGAGTCTTGGAACACAGCACAGAAAACCAACCTAATCAAAAGTTACGACACGCACGCGCTAACCGGGGGACAACGAGGGAGAGAGAGCTGGTGGAACCGGGGGGTTGGCAAGGGAGGATTCGAGCGTAGCACACGATCAAAGTCAAACAAAATAAAAACAATGCAGTTGCCGCGGCAGTATTACGATCGAAGCTACTACTAAGGCAACGGTATGTTTGTTGCACTCCGCACTCCGCACTCTGCAACACCTAGCCTTACTTCACAACTGCGGCAGATTGCACCCACCCACACAATCACTAACACGCACGCACACACACACACACACTGAGGCACACTGTTTGCGATGTGTTAATCAATTAAAATCGTATGCGCATCGAATGTACATTTCGCATTGCTGCATTTTATTTGTTATTTTTTATTTATTTACTTTTTTTGTTGCTAATCAAATACTTTTCGCTTGATTTATTGCAATGGCGCGTTCTATTCGAGAGGCGGTTGCAGTACGTGCCTGGCTTGGTACGGCAGCAGAATTGCACATGGGCACACACAGCAGCACACGTCTGTTACGTAGCACGTCGAAATTCAAACTGACAACTTCGCAGCTCAATCTGGACTTGAAAGCACCTGAAGAGTTAACGAGCGACCGAGTGCGACAGAGAGACAGAGAGAGAGAGAGAGAGAGAGAGAGAGAGAGAGAGAGAGAGAGAGAGAGAGATAGAGAGAGTTTTAGATTGCCAGACCTGCAGCTGTTTGTCGTGCAGCTAGCGATCTGTTTTTAACTGTATGGCAACATTACAAATAACTGACAAATTTTTTGTATCAAAATCAAAAACCAAGCAGCGAATGATTCTCCGAGAATTATCGAATCTCTTTCTTTCGAAGATAAGATGCCAAACGAACGGTATACCTGGTCTAGGATACTTTTCTGATCTGGCTGATATTCAACCTGGTCTAGAAGCTTATAAGTTAAATGACTTGCAAGTCAAAATTGCTGCTTTTACTTCAATAAATGAAAGTTCAATTCTGTTACAAATATGTATATACGAGTATATTTATATAATTTTAAAGTAATTAAGCTAACTATTTGAAAACACAATTCTCACTGACCCCATACAATGTTTTCAATCCAATCCGTGTAAAGGTGAACCTTTGTATAGACGCTGGGCAGTCCCTTCTGACCACAGATCAAGCCATACGATGTGATGCCAATTATGACCTTGAGGCAATTGTAGCGCGGATTCTGCACAAAAATGGGTCCGCCTGAGTCGCCGTTGCAAGTGTCGCCATCGCTGTTGCTGGAACCAGCGCAGAACTGGGAGCTTCTCTTAATTTCAAGTTCTAAACGCTCCTCGCACAGGTCGTCGTCGAAACGCTCGATGGTTACTTTAAGTAGATGCGATGATTTCTGGCCTGCTTCACTTGTGAATCCCCAGCCGGCGGCTGTCAGCTGCATATTCTCATTACCGCTGCTGTGCGGTAGACAAGCTGGCGCCACATACTCGTTCAATGTCGCATTCCTATCCAGCTCTATGATGGCAATGTCATTGTCAAATGTGCTCTGGTCATCGTCACCATCATAGAATGGATGGATTACGTAGTTGACAACCCGAAAATCTTGTGGCATTGCATCATCCGTGTTGCTACTGTAATCCAATTCACCCAGACGCACAACAAATTTGGGCGAATCGAATTTGGGATCCAAACGTTCCGACTTCGTCTCAGACGTCTCCAGGCAGTGGGCAGCCGTTAAAACGTATTTGGGATGTATCAAGGTGCCGCCACAGTCCCAGTTGATTTCGCTTCTGCCCGGCTCCTTATTTCCAATTAGTGCCATGAACGGAAATTCACGACCCTTGGCCTTGCTACCGCCCACAATAAAGGGCGTAGCGTGGCAAGTGGGTCGTATGTCATTGAAGTGCTTGCATTCTGGTAAGTTTTGAAGTAAAATATATATAAATAAATTGTTTAGAAATTGCAAATGTTTAATAGTTAACAACTGGTTGCGATTGACATTCTAATTAATGCAAACGTGGTTCTACTGTAATTAACTGCTGGCTCACTTACCCATCTCAAACGCACGCGTTTCGTCAACTGGCGCCCGATTTTGCACATCTAAAGGCAGGGGACAGCAGACGATGTCCTCGAACTCATTGCAGTACTTGATTTCATTGCCAATTAGGTGAAGATAATAGAATAGAACCGGGCAATCCGTGGCAGTTAACTCTTTGCACTCACCCGTGCCATTATCACAAAACTCACACCAAACACAACTCGAGAAAAGGCAAAATAGACAAATGAGCAATCCACAAAGTGCGTGCATTGTGAGCAGCATTGCGAGCGCAACTGAAATAAAGATCGGCTTGGAACTGAGACAAGTTCAAAGCGAATCGTGTTTGAATCGTGCTCACAGAGCGAACAATGAGAAAGAGACGTTTTCCGATTTAATTAGAAACTATTTTTATTAATACAAATGCATAGAACTAAACTTATACTACTATAGTTGTTGTTTCTGTGGTCAACTCTCTCTCACTCGCTGTCTAGTTGTGACGCATGCCCATGCTTTGCATTTGTTGTTGTTGTTGCTGCTGCTGCTGTTGTTGCATGTGTTGTAAGTACATTTGCTGATTACCGCCACTTCCTAGTGGCACGCTGGTGGTTGCTGCAGCCACAGGCGCTGTTTGAGCTTGTTGTTGCTGCTGCTGTTGTTGTTGTTGCTGTTGCTGTGGTTGCAGTGGAGACTGATTTGCATTTGCGTTGGAATTTGTAGTACTATTTGCATTGCCATCAGCGCTATGAAATAATAGGAAATATTTGATAAACTTAGTCATTTTGCAATTGATTTGTAAGTTGCACCTCTTTTCATTGTGTATATCCTCCAGATTCAGGTGGGTTATGAAGCGCAAACGCATTTGCAGCAGTGGTCGCAGCCTCTTAATAATTGCCTCCGATTCGTTTTTGATAATATTGCCCACGTGTATGTACTTGATGTGATAGCTAAAATAGCGGAAATAAATTGTGATTTACTCCGTCCACATAATCAATAATTTAACAATTGGCTTACAGAAAATCACAAATCTGATCCATATACTCCAGTGGCTTGGGTCCATGCTGCTTGTCCACAGTTTCGAGCATTTCGTAGAGGAATATTGCAATGCCTGCGACGGCATTGGGTTTCTCCTGCTCGATGCGCTGCAGGAACGGCCCGAAGACATGACACAGGTATAACAACTGATGCTCGGTGCGCACACAGGGTTTCAGCTTCTCCTTGATGTACCTTGTCATGGCCGCGAGCTTAAAGGCGCCCATGTGATGGAAGACGGCATGTGCCACGGCGAGCACCACGGCATAGCTCTTCTCCAGCATGGCCTCGCGCACAGTCTTGAAGTTGAATAGTTCAAAGGCATTGAAACGATACGTCCAATTGAGCATGTTCGGCGTGTTTAGCATATCCTGCAGGCGTTCGTAGATGGCACTCCAGTAGGGCTCGGGAAGAGCGGCCAGCACAATACCCACCGCATTAATGTAGCTGTGTATTTCCTTTTGCGGTATTACCGCATAGCCATCGACAATCACATCGATAATGCTGCCAGCGACGACAGAAGGTGCCAGCGGCAAACCAAGCAGCTCCACGCAGGTAACATAGAGCGCATGCGTTGGCGCATTGGGGAACTCATTGAAACGCCAGTCGGTGGTGTAAAAGACGTTCTTTCCACTGATGGCTAAACGATGAACAATCTTTAATAAAGGATTTGTTTTAGAATAAATAGTTTACTCACTGTCCGCCAGACGTCGGATGAGATTCATGTAATAGCTGAGCTCGGGCGTCCATAACGTATCCTGACCTTGCAGATAGACTTTATAGGGATCACTCACGCTCCAATTGGCCGGACGTATCTCACTAAAAGCGCTTGTTATAGCGCTCATCTGTAAGCGATTGTTAATTAGCCAGCTGCTTGTCACTCATTTTAGGCAACAGCTTACCAGCTTCTTTTTCACTACCAGGTGATCACGCAGTATACGTTCGTAGTAATGCAATGTGTTATACAAATACGTAATGGGACGATCTGAAAACGGATAAATAATCTAAGAGTTACATTGAATTCATCTTGATAGGGTAATAGTGCTTACCATGAAACTTATAGAGTATGCTCAAGTGATCCAATATGATGCACAAGATTTGAAGTACATTGGGAATGGTCAGTTCAATGAAGCGATGCACAACCACATCGAGAACGGGCAAAAAACGTAGACACACATTGCTAAAATAAACGGGCAGTGGGATCTGTGATGCAGACTCATCCGGTGCAAACTTTTCGGGAAAGCTTTGATGGAACGAAATATGCTTCTCATGCCTACGAGCAGAATTTAGATAAGCGCTGAGACTAGGCTTCACATATGTTGTACTCACCAATTGCTTTGCTTCCAGTGATCGGGATTGTTGTCCTTGCAAAATTCCTGGACGCGATTGCGCAACTCAGTGGCCTTCAGCAGCAGCAGCTGTATAATTATCAAGCAAACCTGAGCCTCATTGCCCTCATGGGTGCGCAGAGCCAAACAGAGCACCAGGCGATCTATTGTGACCACGTTGAATTTCCAAATCATATTATTTATGGTGTCCACGCATTTGTGTATAAAGTCGCGGCCATCCGAAGAACTGGCCACTTCAGCGACCAAATAATCGCAGAACTTGCGCAAATGCGTGGATAAAGCGCGTGCGCTGATCCCCTCCAGGATTCTAAGATGAAAAGCAAGAATTGTAAATTGCAAAATGTTTCAAAGACAAGTCTTAGTGGAGTCTCACTTGTAAGCCACAGGACTAATGCTCTCCGTTTCCCATATGATTTTGAAAAGCAGGCAGAGGAAAAGCGGATTTGTGTTGGGCCTCAAAAAGTGGGCAATGATGTCGTTCTCATTAGACATGGATGTCCAATTGCGATACTCTTCCTCCACAGACTTTTTCAGCTGCTGCTTGTTCTCAGCAGGATGATTGTTCTGTGTAAAGTATTCGTTTAAGGCAGGCGGAAAGCAGGCCAACGACTGCAATGGCCACGAGTGCGGCGTGTGCTGCATAATATTGGACAGAAAGTCCTTGCACCAACCGGCCAACTCATCACCGCCACCATGCACATGCATAGAACGCGCCAGCGTCAAGATGAGCACACGATTCAGCTCCTCGCTCTCATTGGATGCCACACCGCCGGGTGATTTATCATTCAAATGGCGCGAGAACTGTGACTGAAACTCGGCGGAGCCAATGCTGGTAATCAAACGTAAAGCGGTCGACTCAAAGCTACAGAAAGAGAAGATTTAATAGTTGGCTTGGTTTTGGGCAGTCATAATTGCAAACTTACCATAGATTCAATTGCATTTTGTTTGTCTGCGGCACGGATGAGAGTGAGTAGAGCAGCGACAGCAATTGGACGCGATAGTGGGTGGGCACATGGTGCAAGCGATACGAGAACATTTCCATCAGCGTGTGAAGCATGGCCCAGGCGTGATTCTTGAATACCGTTGGCAGCAGTTGAGCTGTAAAGTATGTGTGTAATATAATATATAATTGTATAAGTATATCTTGTCATATCGGACGGTTTCTTCCCAAGAAAATCGAAGCCTATCTTAAATAAATTTTGAATTTTGAATCCGATCAAATTGACTTTGATTCTGTGGCCAAAAATAGAGGATTGTTTCTCTATATACTCTGATAAAGAAGGTAATCTAATATAATCGACTGTACCGTATAAAATGTTAATATCAATAGAAAATTGTTAAAATATATACATATACATATGTATATTCTAACAATTTTAAATGTAAATGTGTTAGCAAACCCTCTTTAAATATTGGCCACTTCCACCTCCGCAATGAACTCACTCAGAAAACCCTTGATGCCCAGCGACTCGATCTCAGTGTAGACCAACAGTCTGGCGTACGTTTCAATGAGAGCCGGTGCCGGCACCAGCGTCTTGCTCTGCGCCTGCTTCAGCATTTGGGTGACAAAGCTGTGAATTAGCGACATTTTGCTGTGCAACGTTAGGCTATCGAGCACTGAAACGGAATAGGTCACTGCTGGGATTGGTGTGCCATTCGCTGACTTGGCATTGCCGTTCATCGCATCCAGCAAGATGTTCATGTGTCGCGCGAAATACTCCTGATTCGTGGAGTAGGCATTGCAGATGAGTATAATGCGAAAATCGTTGCCCAATGTAACGTTCATCATGCTATTCGGCGCGACCAGGTGCTGTAGAAAGCTGTAATGATTTCGATTATTATAATCTATAATCTTTTTGAGCTAATTGAAATACACACTCTTGATGATTCTTGAGTGCGATGGGCAGTGGTCGTGTTATGTTCATATTCTCCACACGCGCTTTTTTCATCAGATGAATCCAAATGCAGATGGGCGCCATGTGGCGAACTAGCGATGACTTGTTGTAGTCGGGCAGCTTTAGTGGTTCCTGCTCTGGGTAGAGCAGATCAAACAGTCGAAACACAGGAAAAAAATTTGTGATCTGTGCGAAATGTTGATTAAATGTAGAGTAAACTGTAATTCGAGGGTAATTGGGTTGACTTACTGGATTCTTTTGTATGCTGCCCGAGATGAACTGCAACAGTATCCACATTAGCTGATCGCGTCCCTTGCGCAGCTCCAGCTTCGATAGCTGCAAATATAAGGAAAATATTTTACAAAATTGGCCAGAATTCGATGATTCCTCTTGCCTTATCATGTAGCGCCATCACAATGTGCATAAAGCTGACTAGTTGAAAGAGCACAAAGTAGATCAGCTGTGAGGAGAGATGTAGCCAAACCCATTCGTTGGGCGAGATTTGTTCGTCGGATGCATTGAAGCCACTGCCTGCAGTGGCATCATTCGTTTCAGTCATTTCCATCGCATGTATTATCAGATTGACCAGCTGCTCCTCGAGCGCATTGTAACGTTGCTTCTGATGCTTCTGTAGATTGAGCATGACCGAAACCATTTCCCGCGAATATGGCTGCTCGAGCACATAACGCAACAGCGGGGTCTGATCCTCCAGCAGTTCGGGTTCATATGGCAGACTGCCCTTGAAGTTAAACTTCAAAGTGTTGTGATCCAGTCGCCAGGAGTTCATCAAGTGATCCGCATACCCGAAATGCTCTACAATGGGCAGCATATTGGCATGACCAATAATGGACACCATTTGCGCTGTGGTGCGAAACTCTTCGACAAAATCCGTCATCAGCTGGTTGAGCTTCCAGTGATAGGGAAACGGACGCATTATTTCATTTGCTATGAAATAGGCGGGCAGCAAACAATTATTACGATCGAATATGAAGCGTATTATTTCCTCGACGGCCAGCAATTGTGGCAGATATGTGACATTGACGTTGAGGGGAAACCATTGAGCCTTGTCACGGCACGCCTTCATGATCTCCCGCACACCCTTGTAGTCAACCTGGGCGATGACCTTCTTTATGAGCCGAAAACTCTCGATCCAAAATGTTTTGCGCTCATAGTCGAGCTTCTCGCAAGACAACACCTTATCGCACAGCATTCTATGCATTAACAGATAAACATTAATATAAATATTATAGTTTTGTGATGATTTATCTGTTACCTGGCTGTTATTAGATGGGCATCCACCAATTTGGGAAGCGCGCCCATCAGCACCTGCATGTGATAACTGGGCGCCTCGGCAGCCCGCAGCAGATATGAGCGCACTACCTGCTCCCGATTCTCCACATTGCCAAATGCGGTTACTTGAATATAAATATATCAATATATATTCGCGGACAGCATTTAATTGCCAACTTACTCAGACTATTTGCGAAACTGCTCGCTTTATCATCGTCGGACTTGAAAACAATGACGCTGACAAACGCTTCGTCTATGGAATCAACTTTCTGTATGAATTATGGCGCTTATTAGGTTCTTTTCAATGTGTGATTTATCAACTCTTACCAGAAAGTCGTTTACGGCGTCTAAAATTTGCGTATCCATGTTGTTTATTTATTTATTGTGCATCTTTTTACACACATACGCAAATTTTTTAATGCAGGCCGGCTGGCAAACAACTTATTGAGTATCGAGTACATTAACTCGATTAATATCGATACTATCCGGTTGGTATTTTATTATATCGGTTCTTCGAATATCGATGCTTGGCTTTTTGCTATTGGCCATCACTATTAGGATCACCAGCTGTTTGCATTTGTTGATAAAAAGGCACTGAAGTAATTTTATTAAAATAATGAAAAAGGTGTTAGTTACAGGCGGAACTGGTCTTGTGGGCAAAGCTTTGCAAGCTGTTATAAAAGCTGAACAACCAAGCGATGAGGAATGGTTCTTTGCCGGTTCGAAAGATGCCGATTTAACGTGAGAAAAATTTTTGTGTAAACAAAATTTGGTTTCGTATAACTTATCAAATAACAACAGGAATTTGGCCGCCACGCAGGCATTGTTTGAGAGAGTGAAGCCAACGCATGTGATACACTTGGCTGCCATGGTTGGTGGCCTGTTTCACAATATGAACAACAATCTAGATTTCTTGGTTAGTTGTTGACGGGGACTGATTATGTTTATCTACTGAAAATGATTTCCCTTCAACTCCAGCGTAACAATTGTTTGATCAACGATCATGTGCTGCAAACGGCACATGTGCTGGGCTGCACGAACGTTGTCTCCTGCCTGTCTACGTGCATATTTCCTGACAAGACCAGCTACCCCATTGATGAGACAATGGTGCACAATGGACCGCCACATTCTTCGAACTATGGCTATTCGTATGCGAAGCGTTTGATAGACATACAGAATCATGCCTATCACGACAAGTATGGACACATGTACACATCTGTGATACCATGCAATATATTTGGTCCGCACGATAACTACAAGCCTGAAGTCAGTCACGTGATTCCAGGCATGATCTATCGCATGCACAAGCTACGTACCGATCAGCCCCAGTTGGATGAAAGCGAAAAGATCTTTACAGTCTATGGCAGTGGCAAGCCATTGCGTCAGTTCATCTACTCCCTGGACTTGGCCAAGCTGATGATTTGGGTGCTGAGGCACTACGACAGTGTTGAGCCCATTGTTTTAAGTGTAGACGAAGCGTCAGAGGTAACGATCTATGAGGTAGCTCAGGCCATAGCCAAGGCATTTAACTTTAAGGTGAGTCGTGAGCATATATTATTTGCATTAATCAAACTTTATCAAATTAAAATAATATATATTGCAGGGCAAGCTGGTCTGTGATACGAGCAAGGCAGATGGACAATTCAAGAAAACAGCATCGAATGCAAAGTTGCGCAAAATGTTGCCAGATTTTAAGTTTACAGACTTTGAGGAGGCCATCGAAGCATCTGTGCTCTGGTATACGACTAATTATGATCAGGCTAGGAACTGAATATTGTATTTAAATACATATGTGATGTTTGTTTACAAAATATAACATCAATAAAATCACGCATTTACATCAGATATATATATCTAAATAATTTTTCTTTATTTAATAATTAAATAAGAAGCTAAATTTAGATTCATAGACACTTTATACAACATGTTTAACATATTACATATACATATATACGATTTACGATATAGGAAAAGTTTTAAATAACGGCAAATCTCGGGATCTGGTGCTCTTATGTGTGAAAAGGTGCACGGCTATAAGGGGGGAAATGATCGCTTAACCTAGGTAGAAAAACAATCAAAAAAAACTATATTTGTATAATCTCAATTTGTCTGAATGGGGAGGGGCATATCGTCATTGTTTTTGTTTTGTGGAATATTTTGTGCATGGATATTATTGTAACGTTTTTCGTTCGCAATTCATTGAGCTTGTCCGTAGAACCTAAACTTACAATTAAATATATATTTTACAACTTGTTGGTATAGAGAAGTACCATTAAAATAGAACAGTGGAAAAATGTTCCCTTCACTTATTTGAACTAAAATTAAAATAGATTCAAAAACAGAATTTTCTGGCATTTCAAATAAAGTAGTCAGGTCGAAAAAATGGCTCTTGTCGTGAATAAATTAGAAAGTTCTTCGGGCATGCATGAATGAGAGTGGGGTGGTGGTGTTCTGCTGCTAATGGTGCTTTAGGAGAGAAGTGGTTGAAAGAGTTTTAACAGCAGGACATAGTTGGCTACATTACAAATAGTTCAACTAAACAAAAAAAATGTCATTGCAACAGTTGAGCTGTCGCCTGAATGGATTCCTCATTATGATCATCTTAATCATCTGATTCGGATTCTTCTTCTGCTTCTGCATCTTCTTCATCTACTTCTTCGAATGGTTGGCCAAATCAGAACGCTTTAGAAGCGCTTGAGAAGCAGCGGCTTGCTGCGCTCAGCAAATGCCTGATTAATCCATTTGACGTCGGGCTTGGAGAAGCGGACCGATTGATTCTCGCCGCAATTGGACTCGGCGCTGTAGACACCCTTGAGCCGGACATTGGAGCCGCTGCCGCAGGCTAGCGCGCTGCCCACATCGAATTCACACGAATCGAATTTGGTGGCACTGCACACGCTCGTTCCATCAGCACCACAATCGCTGCGCGCCTGTGCTGAGGCATCGGTCACATGCATAATGGCGCCTTCCTCGTGAACTGTATTGTGTAAGTTGAAATGGAGATTAGTTGGAGCGTATGTGTCGTTAGCGAAGGGCAGCTTAATGCTTACTTGAGAGGGCCTGCTTGCCCCAGCCGGTGGTCACACAGTGCTCCGATGCGCCTGGATCCTCATCGCTGATGCAGATGGGCTGAATGTGGGTGGCGAACTCGAAACGTTTGTCCAAGCGTATGATGGCCAAATCATTGGCATGTGTCGACGGATTGTACGAGGGATGGATATCAATGGTCTTGGCACCCACCAGCTGGAACGGCAATGGCTCATTGGTGCTGCCCAGCTCCCATTCGCCGGCCTTGATGCGCACATCGTTAACGGGCACACTAACGGAATAATTCATCAATTGTAATCTACCAGACTTTAATTCGATTCGGGATTCAACCCACAACTTACCCATTCACACAGCTAGCCGTGGTGATCACGAATTCGTCGCCAATGATGGCGCCACCGCAAAGCAGAGTCTTGCTCGACTCGCGCAGAATCATTGCTTGCCATGGGATTTCAGCAAAGTTGGCATCAATTTCCTTAACGCCAGTGGGCTTGGTGCTGTCAGTAATTAACCGAGACGAATTTTATTAGATTATATTATATTTATAATATATGTATAAATTCAATAATTACCGTGTGTTGCGTGTGGCGCAGACGCCAGCGAGATTGACGGGCCAGGGATCGACGTAGTTGGGATCGCGACAGCACTTGCCGGGAACGCCGCTCTCGGCCACTAGGCAATCGGTGAGTGGCACACGGAAGGCAGCCTCCATGGGGGTCAACTGGATGGGCGTGTCGCTTAGCACACCGATGGCGTTGCAATAGTTCTCCGTGGTGCAGACGAGCGCTGAGGCGCACTTGGCGAAATGCTTGGGCAGCTCGGCGGCTTGCGGTGTGGGGAAGATTTGCGGCGAAAGCTGATCCTCTCCGCGATACACGGGCTTCTCATTCGATGGCTGTGGCACACGGTCCGGCTCGTAACGTTGTGGCTGTGTGGGGCGCGGTTCGCGGTGCGGAATCTCGTTGGATGAGACGGGCGGCAGGTATTCGTTGGTGGGGCGACGTGTCGGCGCTGCCGTGGGCAATGGGCGGTATGCGGGCCTCGTTGGAGCGGGCTGTGTGGGCTGTGGACGGTAGGCTGGCTGTGTGGGCTGTGGGCGGTAGGCCGGCTGTGTCGGCTGTGGGCGTGGCGGTTGGGTGGCACGCGACTGCGTTGGCTGCGGCTGATAGGTGGGACGACGAGTGGTCTGTGGTGGCAAATATTCGGCAACGGGACGACGAGTGGTCTGTGGTGGCAAATATTCGACAACGGGACGACGAGTGGTCGACGGGGGCAAATATTCAGTCGGTTGTGGACGATAGGCCGGCTGGGTGGTGCGCACAGCGGGCACTGTGGGATTCGTGGGCAGCGGGAAGGTCTTCTCGGGCAGATTGAATATGTAGCCATCCTCAGTCAGCGTTGTCGATGGCATGCGGCAGCAAATCTCTGGTGCATAGCAGCGATTTGGCTAAAATAGAGATATGTTGATATAGAAATGAGTCGGGTTAGTTTCAAATGTTGCAGCGAGTCAATTAAAGCAGGCAGCTGCCACATAAATTAACACCAGGCGTTGCCGCAAACAGCTGAGCCAAAGTAGCCAAAGTCGTGTCTGGGCCGTGCTTCAAAGTCCATGCAGCGATGCAGCGCATTAAATTACAAAAAGCCACCAGCAACAAGCAACAAGCGACTTGCAACTCGACTGCTAACTACTCGACTGCCTCGTTTTGCTACCTGATCATTAAAGTGGCCAATGTTGCCTGCCTGTCAATTGCTTTTTGTTTTTTTATCTTGCCTCTTCTTTAGTATTCATTGTGGTGTTAATGGTAACCCAGAAATTTGCAGCTTCATGCTGCAATCTTTTGCAGCAGCATTTTGAAATGCAGCCCCACAAACGTTGTTGCTGTGTCAAGTTTGTCGCCCAAGTCATTTGCTCACTGACAACACCTACACACACTAACCCACACTTATACACACACACACAAGCACAATGACAAAATTTCCGTATTTATATGCTAAATTCACTAATAATTATGGCAAACGGAAATATTTTTCAAAATCTGTAGGCGCGTGACAAAGCAAGTAAAAACGAAAATATGCTGACTAATTTGCTCAAAAATTACCATTAAACTAAACGAAATTGAGTATAAATTAAAGTATATCTATCTATGTTTATTAAACCAAATGCATAATAATATAAATGTTCATATTATCGGCATTTTGTCAGTTTCCACATTAAATTGGCTTAAATTAAAGATTACGAAAGTGATGGAAACCAAAAAAAAAAAAAAACAAACTAAAGAAATTTAAAAATGTTTTAATTTGATTTGACTATGGTTAAATAACAGTAACAGGCTTTTTCTTTTCTTTTGTATACCAATAGTCAAAAGTTTCTGCTATATGAAAAGTGATGAATATGATAAGTATACATATTAGTATATCTATAAAAGTGATATTTTTAATTGCATAACTAAGAATTTAGGAACATAATAAAAACTGCTAAATAGTTCAAGTTATGTATTTATTACGCAAATAACAAATCCAACTCTATTAAGCAATAATAGTACGATAAACACGAACGAATTAGAGGCGAAACAGCAGCAATGGATGATATCTATGTTTTGATTTGTTTTCTACTCGCAAATAACAAATTGTTATTGTTGTTTTATTCAACACTTTGGATTTGCATGCAAGCAATAAAAATAATGCCTGACTCTTGTCGCATTGCTTACGCAATCGCAAATGTTTATATGGCCGCCCACAAAAGAATAGCGAATTGAGAATTCTGCAAACAGATTCGAAACATTGAACACATCCCAAGACGCAGCTCTCAGCTCAGCTTAGCTCGACTCTTGGCTCGGCTCTTGGCTGTTGGCTCTTCACACGGCCGCGTTGTCAACGAGGCGACCTTCTGTTTTATTGTCTCGCGCAATTTGTTACTCATAATTCAAGTAGCAGACGGACGGCAGACGTCAGCGGCTACTGCGGGGCGTGCGAAAGCGAGTGCGAGTTGTGAAAAAAAACAACAACAAAAACAAAAACATACCACAGAAGTCAACAAAAATAATGTGCACATTTGTTAAAAATTAAGCGAAAAGTGAACAGTGACAGCAGCCGAGATTCGTGGCCTGACAAATTAATAATTAAAATTGAATGCGAATGCGAATCGTGTTGCTTCCGTTGACTAGGGCTGAATTTGTCATTGCGGTTGTCCTTCTTGGCTGCCTTAATTTGTTATCATTATCGTTAGTTGGCCCTCTGGCATCATTTTCATCAATTAAGCGTTAATCAAATGTTATCTTAATGTAGACATCACTCATTGAGCATTAAGTCAAGAGACGCACGCATTAAGTTTTATGTAATACATGTTATCAATGAGACTGTTGCTGCGGCCAAGCAAAAAAATAAACAAGTAAATGCTTTAGCCGAGAGTAACAGACTGTGAGATGCCCTGTAACCAGACCTATCATACATTTTCTTTTGCTTACATTACTTTATTAGTCCCTCGGTTCAACGTATTTAAATTGGTGCAGGGTATTAAAAGAAACATCAAAAAAATATATGAAAAAAATTCAACAATGCGAAACTGACATAATTTGTTGTTGTGGTTGATCAATGACAAGCAGCAGGCAGCAGGCATCGGACAGCAGCCCTCAGCGTCCACCTGATCACCGATTAAGTCGCGTCTGCTGCCCTCTTGCTTATGATCAATCATTTTGCAGCTTCGAGATAACAACAGTGACAACAACAACAACAATAAACCGCTGCTACTTGTACAGCCGACAGCTAAAATATGTAATCGCCAGCCAACAGCAACAACAACAATGACGTCAAAATGCTTTTAATAAATTTTGTTGGCCATACAACATGTTGTTTTGTTGTTGTTGTTGTTTTTGTTGTTTTTGCCTGTCTCTGCTGCTGAGCGCTGCAATTTGTTAATAATGTTGCAATTACAATAAGTATATGAAATTTTATGAAACTTATTTTAATGCCATTGGTAAGCGAGGCTGGCAGCGCAGGCTCGCCAGCTGCTTCAAGTCAAAAAACAAATGACTTAGGCAACGAACTGACCAAAGGCCGTATTGTTAACGAAATGTATGCAAAACTTAAAATATCAATTACTCTGTCTTAAGGTGTTGCCTAAAATATTACTTTAAGCTAATAGCAAAACATGATACTAGAAAATTTGTTAGAAGTTTGTTGCTTTAAAAAAAAATTTGTTAGATTTAACAAAACGCTTCTACACCCCATATATAATATGTATATGGCTTGTCCTAGTTAAAATTTTGATTTAGCTACCAAAAATGATCATTAGTGCTCTTGGACAACCTATTGGTAAATGAAGCCTTCGTGTATACTTCCATTCGAAATGTCAAGAGTGTATCTGGCACCTTATGTAAAATTGAAATTTATGACACAAATGTTTCGCGAATTTGTTTTTATGGCAGCTTTAATGTGGCAAATACCCCTGTATTAAATTCCTACATCTTGTATATGATTTTTTTTTTTTTGCTTTGACTATTTATGGGCCTATAAAAATACAATTTTTTGATTTTGTGTTTATGCTTTTGGCATCTTACATTTGGCCCGGCCCTCATGTGCATGTAGCAAGCAAGCAACATTTTGTTGCTCAAGTTTGTCGCTTAAGTCTTTTGTTTATGCATCGTCTTCTTAACCATAAATAATGCATGTCCGAAATACTGCTAATTTATAGCGCAGGTCAACTAGGTGGCGAATAAATGAATCCAAATTATTACACGCCTTTCTGATCTATTAATTATGTGCCCAGTGGATCTAAAATTGTTATTACAACCTCATATAAATTATATATGTATATGCGTGCATATCTATAACAAAAATCATTGATAATGATATGCATGCATTAGCCGCTACAGTTTTACAAATTCCAAACACTCATAAATTAGAAGAAAAAATAAATAAAATAAATGCATAAAAACAAATTGTTAAACGCTGTCAACGATTGCCTGACAGCGTCTTGTTGTCGACCTAGACCTTGAAGTTGTAGTTGTCATCTTCAACATCACCATCATCATCATCATCGTCATCATTATTATTGTTATTGATGGCGTTTACCGCTGATGTGTGTGCCTCGACATGCTCTGTTTGTTGTGTTAGCCTTTTGTGGCTTTTTTTTTCTTCATTGTTTTGTATTACGGCTTTTGCCTCTACAACAACACAGTTACAGCTAGCCATACAACTGTCCACATTAAAAGCTTAAATAACGCAACATTTGAGACAGCAAATCTAGGCAAAATGCCCAATGCCTGCCATGCGGAATGCTAGGTCACTAGATTACTGCGAACAGCAAAGAGATTAAAGAAATGATAATACTAGCATAAATTAATGCAAAAAAAAAACTATAAAAAATCTTTTTTTCAATTAAATTTTAACCCTTGGAATATTATTGAAAGTGAATATATAAAAAAATACTGTATCTTTATAAAATTGCTTGAGTGTTATACATTTTTATTTATTACGCTGTGTAAAATGTCAATAAGTAAGAAGCTTAAAAATTTGACAAAGTTGCAAGTGTTAAACCGGCTCGAGAAGAAGAAAAAATGTTCGATTTACATAAATTACATGGAAGTGGAACAAAAACTGACTAAAAATTGAGTTCACGCAATGCGGCATGTTATAAAATGTAAAACATTCAACTTGCACAGCAGCTTAAATGATAAATGACCATAATGAAAATACGCGCCATAATCACCTTTATAATTATGTGTGATATACATTTAAGTTTGCGGGCCTAAATACATTCTTTCAGATCAGTTGGTCGGATGATCAATTAAACACTAAAACTAAAAAGGGAGCGTTCTCAATCAGCGTGCCAAATGCTGAAGCTGAAGATGAAGCTTAAAGGTCGGTCAATAGCCGATATGGGCGCAGTGGGCATGCGTCGCATGTGGCATGTAAACATTAATTGATCAGATATCCGCATTGCAACAACTGCAGCCCGTACCAAAATCAGAACGAGAGTTACGAGTTGGGCTAGGCCGCAATGTGGCCTCTCCCAAGGCGTCACTTGCAAGGCGAAATTGTAACTCTGGACAGGCAGAGAGGGTTGCCAACCAGCTAACCAGCTAACCAGCCAGCCAGCTAGCCAGCCAGTCGAACGACCTTGCAATGTTGCATTCCGCGCATTTTTCACTGTTAAACTACTTAAGTTATTTTTGCCTCTTCGCACTCTTGTAAATTAGGGATACATTGTGGCAACTGGTTCGTCTATACACACAGCTGAACCGAATGATATTGTTGTTGCATATGCTGCTTGTTGTCCCCAGCGTGCATTTTGTAGCATGCCACGCAATTGGCGTCAATGCCTGCATAACTTAACGAGTTCGAGGCACCTTTGTGGTGCGTAATCGTCGCTGGACCTGCTCGTCGCCAGCTGCTGGGGCTGAGGCTGCCGCTGCTGTTGCTGTTGAGTCGAGGCAAATTATGAGACTGTGGCCCACCGAAATGAGCAGTCACAAAAAAACAAAAAACAAAATACAAAAAAACAACGAAATAAGAAACATCAACTGACTGCAACGATTTCAGTTTTAAGTGCGTGGTTGCAACTGCAGCGTCTGCAACATAATTCACTTGCTGTGATGATTTTTTGTATTTTTACATTTTTGTTGTTGTTGTTTTTTGACTTTTCGTTCAACATGCGGCAACAGGCAACCAGAGCGTTGAGTACGCAACTGACCCGTTTTGTTGGCCATTGCATGTAAACAAATTATGCAATTGCAATGCCAGCACCAGCTCTGTATAAATCGTGAAGAAAACTAGTGCCATCCTGTTCGCTCTAGCCTGACAGTGGCGTCTGTTTCGCTCTATTTTTCTCTCTCTCTGACTCTCTCTCTCTCTCTCTTTCTGACTCTCTCTGTCTTAACTGACTAGTATTCTGGTAGGCCGTAATTTAACACATTTTCGGCTTGAATGCATTTCATGCACATTACTTGTAAGTTCAACTGCATTCCATTGCTTGATTGCCACTTGACGGCATCAAGTTCGTTGCCTGACTCTTTCGTTTTGACATTGCCACTGACTATGGCAGCAGTAGCGGCAGCGCCAGCGCTAGCGTCAACGGTCTCGGGCTTGGGTAATATCATTGTAATACGATGCAAATCAGTTACATTTTCCCCTGTATGCATGTTAATCAAAGCAACAACATTGTCTGTTATTGACTTTAGGCTAAAAGCTAAACTTTGTTGGCATATCTTATGGTTCCTACAAAAAGGTCATCAAGCAGCACAACTAAAATTTTAATGACGAAACGCTTCCAGGCATATTGCAAATTAAGCAGCAAGTGCAAATACAATCGGAACAGACTTAATTAAAAAAAAAAACCAAAAAAAACTGTGAACATGCCAAATAAAAGCCAAATGTAGAAACAATATTTAATCTGAAGCTGTGTATATATTGCCGGACTTCAACCTACAGTGAGTCAATATTTTCAAGTAGATTTGATGGTAATTTAAGCTTCTCCCATCCCACACAGTGTTGACTCATCTTGGCAAATTCTACTTTTTGTGTCATGTCAAATCAAATTTCAATCTCAGATTGTAAAGGCGGACAATTCGTCATCTCGTAGAATTGGGAAAACAAAAACCAAATAGATCAAAAGTTGAGCGAAATTTGCATATAGTTACAGAAACCAACAACAACAATCAGCAATAACAAAAGAATATTTTGTCTGAAAATGTTAACTAATTGTGTGCTAATAAGCTGCATCTGTATCTGTTGTGGGTTTTTTTCAAGCTGCTGCTGGCTGTTTTTGGCTGGTTGTTGTTGCTGTTGCAGTTGTAATTTGCATTGCTTGTGAAATGTGCTACGATTGCTGCAGTTATCTATGTAGTGCTACTTTGTTTTCGGGGCATCTCATCATTGGCACATCCAAATGCGGTTTGATGCCGTTGCGGGTTTTTTTTCTATTGCTTTGCGGATGCCCGCCAACAAAACTTATAACTTTTGATACGCCCAGACAACTTGCCGGTGCTAATGATTACTTTTTGTGTGTGCGTCCCTCTTTTTTTTTTCTTCGTATTTGTGTTGCACAAGTTGAGCCAATTAAGCGGTCTTTGGCCTGACAAATGTCGCATTGAAACTTACCCCCTGCTTTTTGACATAGTTGACGGCGCTGATTTCACCATTGCGGCAATCTTGTGACGACACACAATCCGAATCACGTGGACAGGTGGCAAACGGAACAGGTGTGGTTGTTGTGGTCGTTCTCCGGGTTGTTGTGGTGGTTGGCACTGGGCGATAGGTGCAGCAAATGTTTGATTCAGGATTGCAGTTCTGCAAAGAATAAAGGAAACAATTGGGAATTAATCATATGCGTATGCCAAGTATTTAAGTTCTTCTTTTAATACATCCTCTCTAAATTTAATATTTTTCTTTGCTACAGCTTTCAACATTTTATATTTTGTGTGTTCAGGTTTTATGTAGGCGCTAAATTTCATATTTTTATGGGCTGTTAACTTTGGAACCCTTTTAATGACCCAGCTGTGTCTTAGTTTTCAGTGCACTTCAGCTCACTTTGCAGTTCATTTCGAACAAATTTAATATACATATTTTAACTGCTGCTCATGGGCCATAAAAAGTCAACTGACTACTGCAACTAACTTGCCAAAAGATACGCACACGAACACACACACACACACACAGACATCTCACTGTCCAGTTGACTGGTCGCGTAATCAATCAATGTGTTTAGCAACTGCGTACTTGACCAACAGTGTTAGCCATAAAGTTGCAACTTGTTGGCATCGGCATTAATTAGGCGGCCTAAACGATCGTTGCTTCTGCCACAGCAATTGTTGTTGTCAACTCTGTCGCCTTTGGCAAAAGGTCAGCAAAGCGGCCATTGCAGTTGCATAAATGATGTGTTAAACTAATGCCCAAGCAAATGCATTTTGCTTTTTCTTACTCAGTCTTGAGGATTTTTTTTTATTATCGTTTAGCACCTTGGTGGCATTGCTGCCAATTTGCATTGAACTTTGCCGCCTTCATTCAACGGTCTTATGATATTCTATCGAAACCTTCGCATGCCCGTCGTCCAGCTGGCATTTCGACAATTGCAAATTAATAATTATAATCATGTTGTCTGGCCTCAGGCCAAAAGTTCAAGAATGGCCAAGGTGTTTGTGATTCTGTTTCTATTCTAAATATTGTGCTCTGCCTTTTTCATTATTGTTTAAAGCTACAATAGCATCACGGTAGTCGGAGGCGTGCTTTAGACGTATATGCAAATCAATTAGCTTGGCCATGCCACATCTTAAATGCAGCATAAACATGCCTAACAGCGGGTTAAAGTTGGTGTCATTAATCTTAATTATGCAACTCATTCATTTTTGAACTTATTTCCTAGGCACAGAAAAACCAGTTCACTGCTCACCTATAGAACGATATATAATTATAATTCTTATACTATATATCAATCAATCGATCTCCCTTTCTGTCTGTCGCGTTGTGAATAGTGATGTTCACATTTTACAGTCCCGCACAAAACAAAAACTCAAAACTCGCGCTTAAATTATTGAAATCGAACTAATCGACCTTGGGTAATAAAGCGCTGATCGCTGGACACGCTCAAATCGATATTCGAAAACAAGAAATTCTTGTCAAAACACATATAGAACATGAGTTTTTCTCATAGACCCTATGCCAACGTACTAACACAATCGAATCGCAACGCGCTTAAATCTAGCAAAACTAATTTATGAAACAGTTTTATGGGAAGATTAAAAAAAAAGTTAGTTGTCTATAAGGCACTTAAAGCAAAGCAACGAACGTGCATATTTAATAAATGTCAATACATCTATCTGGTTAACCATTGACATGACTGAAGAGTTAATCAGTATTCAAATGGCTAACAATCTGCGTTATGAATTTATCATGTTAAGTACGCACGTGTAAGCACGAACACCTAAATCTAAAATAAGCTATGAACTATTCTCAACAAACCGGATGAGAAACTAAGTTCAATTCAGTTCGGTATATTATATCACATTTTGGACGCATAGGTTGTTAAACCTATAAGCAAACGGAACGTTCGGCGTTTTTGATTTTATTGACAATAAGTCAATAATCATAATAATAATCGCACAGCACTTGACATCATCAAGCTGAGAAGCTGAGAATTTTTCTACTGTGCTTTGTTTTTATTGTTGTATACATCATTTTAATTGCTTGTGTGCGCAATCATTTTTCGAATTATTGAGATATTCACAAAAATATTTGGCTTGATTATTGATTTAGCATCCCTGACACGCAATGTGCTAATAATAACAATACGTGGTAATAAAAGAAACAACAATAACCACAGAAAAAAACACATAAAATAAAATCTCAAATATTTAAATACGTATACAATCCAAGCGCTAAAGCGGATTCCCTTAAGCGTTAAACTGTAAACTGTTCAGGAAATGCAAACAGATTGAGAAAAATAAAGAAAAATAAAAACAGTTGGCATAACTCGCTCTGTTGACTGTGTCAATGTCAAGTTTACACACACACGTTAGATGGCTGCCAAATTTGGCCAACAAACAACTCGCTGACTCAACTCGAGAAGCCCACGCGTTCGCAATGTGTCTCTTTGTCAATTTGCCAGGCGCAAATTTGTCAGCATTTGTTGTTTGTAAATATTTGTTCGCTATTGTTACAGTTTCTTTTGGGAGCTACATATTTGTCTGTATGTAGATATCATTGATTGATGATCATTTAAATTAATTTAATTACTGATTGAAGCTTTGCCTAAGTCGTCTCAATAAACCGAACTAGACAATTAATCTTAGAAGGCGACAGCGCTCAGCTCTTAAATACTGCCATTAATAGTCGCACATATTATAGACATTCTCTCGAATTCCAGGTTCATTGCTCTAAGCAACTTAAATGACCACATTTTAGCAGCTGAGCTGTTCAGCTGCCCATTTTGGCACGCATTAAATTTAGCCTTATTAGCTACAGCTAATCAGCATCTTTGCAAATTTGAAGCATGAAACACAAACTTGGCTTTAAGACGTTAAATATTGTCATTTATTTTATTTAAAACCAGAAACGTTTTTTCTAATTGATTTATTAAAATGCTTGAAATGCATTCCAATGACTTTAAGACAATATACGTTAGCAAAATAGTTTATATATATATATATACATATATGAATATATACAATCATTTGAATCTTAAGAGATACGCTTCTCTAAATAATCTTGTTTTTTCTGTTTTTCTCTTTATTTCTATTTTCAATTTATTCTCTCAATTCTCAATTTATTCAGCCGCGGGCTAATTGCCAGTGGAACAGCTGAAGCCCACAGAATTCTATTTGTGAACGTAATTAAATTTGTCATCAATAAAATTGTATTTGCTGTTGTTATTTAAGTAACCAAACTTGTCGTCGCTGGTCAGCGGGTCAAATTTGCACTTGAGGCGCCGTTGGCAACGGCAACAGCAGGCGTAGATCGGCTTCAATAATTTTTAATTAAAAAGCTTAATTCCGTTGCTTGGTGTTGCAATGTAAGCGCAATATAAAATACATTTTTATAACGTGTACATACAAACGCAGATGCGTGTAGATGCGGCAAGTTTGTTGCCTAAGTCTTTTGTTAGTAGCGACTTTAAAAGCGGAATAAGTTATTAAAATTGGTTTTCAATAAAACTGTCGCTATTCGCTGACTTTTGGACAGGAATTCAACTTCTGAAACAGCGGCAAAATGAATCGATAAAAGTGAACTTCCAATTGAGGATTGTTTTATGTTAAATTTTATGGGGCAGGCTCTCAATATGCAAAATAAAACATTTCGAAAATAAAAAAAAGTGGAGCGACTTTTGCATTTACATAAATTTCTTTCTGGCAAGCGGCGAACTTGGCAGAGCAGCAATTAAACATGAACTTCACTTTTTATTTCACTTGCCAGCTATTACGAAATGCGGCAACGACGAAAGGTTGAATGTGTTTTTTGTTACTTTTCGAAAACTGACAAACCGGAAAATAACGGCAACTGTGCCAACAATAAAAAAAATGCAGATCAGATCTGGCTAATCAAGCGTATTGCAATGTTTTCAACATTATCGACCGCAGACAGGCTTTTAATTTGGAGTTGGCTTTTGTACGGTTGCCGATCGCTTGTCAAGCGCCTGCCACATTTTTGAATGTTGGGTTTAACCGAACCACAATCGATGCGCATTATGCAATTATTAGCCAGTTAGCTAGCAACAACTGGAATAGTTTTAGTAGTCTTACCTGAATCTTGGGCAGCTGCTGGCTGAAGTAGCCATTCTGGCACTGATCCAGACGCACACACTGCTGTCCATTGGTGCACCTGAGCTGCTCCAGCGGCGGCAGATATGTGGGTGCCTGGAACGGTGCCGCTTGCCTGCTAATCACCGCATGGTGCAGGAACACATTCGATGCCGGATTCACCGAGAAGTGCGTTTCGGGATGCACTTTAATATCGTTTTGATATTGACCATTGAGGAACATGTTGCCTTGATAGCTGGCATTGGCGGTGCCGTGCATTGCCAGCAGAAGTGGCAGCACCAAAGCGAGTGAGCTTCGAAACCGTGACATGGCTTTTGATTCTTTATTCCAAATATGTGTCTGGTCTGTAAAAATATTAATCAAAATATACATAAAATGAACGAGTAATTTATTTTAAAAATCTAAAAAAAAGTTTAAATTTATTGTTATTGAAAATAGATTAAGATTTTATTTGAATTTAAATCAATTTGGTTTTAAAAACGTATTTCTTTTCTCCAAAATGCAGAATAAAATAATCTTATGAGCTAACTATTAGTAATTAATAACTATATAGCTATAATTAACCAGATATTCCGGTTCGTAAATTATTAAAACCAGTCAGTATTAAACAGCGTATACTAGATCAAGAACTATCATTTTAAAATAGATTACTGAAGCATTTAGCAATTAGCACTGGCTGACTAAGTGTTAGCCGGCCGGCTATAAGACCAGCTGGCAATCTGTCAGTGATGTTGTTGCTGTTGTTATTGTCGTCATCAACAATGAAATGCAAAATAACGTGATGACATATTTCGCAAGAGGAACGCACAGAATGCCATAAAAGTGCACTAGCCGGATACCCTGAAGCCGTTGAGAGGAGGCCTCAAGCAGCCTACACGCTGTGCGGATTGCCAGCTTTGGATATTGCAATGAGTCGGCTCCATGACAACAGCAACAACAGCAACAGCAACAACAACAACCAGAACAAGTAACAAGCAGCAAGCAACAAGTACTACTACAATATGGTTAACACGGCAAATGGCACTTGCTGCTGACAGGCAGACAGCTTGACTCTCGAACGGAGTCTCCACTTTGGAGTCCAGTGCGTGACGTTAGCCTTTTGGGCAGATTGTCTACAAGTTGTTTGCGCAAAGGAATTTCAGTGTCTAGCACACAACTGGTTTTGGCCAAAAAGACTTCCGAAAACTTGCAAAAGATATGCCTACATATTCTATAGACTTATATACACATATCATAGATACACATATACAAGTTTATTTATTATTGCCCCCCTGCAGGCGGCTGCTGTGCAATTTGTCAAAGTTTCTAAGTCAGATAAATTATGAAGCAGCGATTGCTGCGCCTGCTCTAACTTGATGTATCTGTTGGATGTGTCTAACTGTGCGTCTGTACGTCTGTCTGTCTGACTATCTATATCTGTCCGTCGATCTATTCATTAAAGCATTGCTAAGCTGTTTGGCCGCTCGATTACGCAAAGAGGCGTTGTCGACGTTTGGTTAGTTAATTCTTTGGCTTCTGGCCCGCCCATCTTGGCGTTTAGTGCGGCAATTTCATAATTGATGGCACCTGCCAAGTTAGTGTCTAAATTGACAAACTTATACTTAATTCATTTGCATAGATCGTTAGCTCAGGCAGGATGTTAACATTTGTTGGCAAGACCAGTTCATGTGAACTGTGCATTTTGTATATGTTTAAATCCTGCTTGCTGACTCAAAGCCAATACAAAAAAAAAAAAAGTTAACTTGGCTCGTAAATTGTCATAGCGACAATAGAAAATGAAAAGCAAATGCCGCCAAGAAATTTGCATTTAAAGATAAACACGATATTCTTAGATACAAATGGCGAATCGACAGTTCTTACGATGTTCGAACTAAGCCAAAATTGGCTAGATGCGTGCCACATGACTCAATGCTATAAATAAGTATATTGACAGACAACTAACAAAATTCCCCCAATTAAGCGTGTTTGAAAAAATTCAAAATTATTGGTTTTACCACAACGAATTTTGTTGTCCAGCAGCTGATGTTGGTGTTCTTATTGTTGTATTTTAATTTGCATAAAATATGTTATGCGATTTTGCTTTGTTGGCTGCGCTCATTAAAAAGCTTGTATGTGTGTTGGTAAGTTTCTAATACTTTCTCTATAATTCGCTCAGAAGTCAGCTGTCAAAATTTTGAATATTTTTAATTTTTATTTTTTGTTTTGCCATTTTCTATTATAGATTGATGCGCAGATTCATAAATTCTTGAGTTTGAGTGGGGAATTACGCGGCCTCGGGTAGCTGTCTGAAATTTGTCAGTGACACACTTTTCAACGGGAATCGATGAACCTGGTGAGCTGAGGTGTGCTCAAAACAAAAGACTTAGACAACGAACTTTGTTCGGGAATGTGATTCGGTGAGTTTTTTGTTCAGAGTAGCCAAAATAAAATAACTGCTAATGCTAATGCTGATTAATTTAAATTTAAATGGAATGCAGCAAATTAATTCAAACACACACACGCACATAATGCTTTCAGCTGGTCATATGTAAATCTTTTGTTGTCGGTGGTGCTGTGGAAAGTGAGGCTTCCGCCTGAACTTGTGTTTAGTTAGCGCTTAAGCCGTTTGGGTTCTGTGACTGATTTTCACATAAATTAAAACCGCAAATGTTGCTTGCGTTGTCTGGGGGCTCATCTGGCCAAGTTGCTGCCGTATGCAATTTTGCAATAGCGGCGCAAAGTTCAGATCGCATCTCTAGCAAATAAATTTCAAGTGAGTTAAACACAATGCACGGCCAAGACAAGGCGGGCAGCCAGACAGACAGAAAGACAGACATGCGGTTAGGCTGAACTGAGGGACTGTGTGGCACAGGCAGCAGCACCAGCAGCCGCAGCAGCCGCCGCAGCAACAACTGAATCAATCAAACCATCCATCAATCAATCAACCGCAAATGAATTTAATTTTCAACCACAAACAAAACGTCACGGCACAATTTACAGTTAATTTTGGTGGATTGTACAATTGTATGGCACAAGTAAATCACTCTTTGATTAAACTCTAGCAGTTATCCTTAAAAAATGAATACATATCAAAACCATATCCTTGGCGCCTGGCACTTGTCACTTGGTCACATAATGTTGCGCAGAGTCTTTAACTTAAAGTTCATTTCTTATCACTACTCACACACTGTCTCATTTATTTAAGTATTAATTTAAGTTATGTGTATGTATATAAATTATTATAATATCTTCTTACATACAGCTAAGTTTTTTTATGTTGGGTATGATCTAAACTCGCACAATTAAACGCACGAAACGAACAACTTCAATACTTCAATATGATTGTAAACATTTTTACCAACATCCTCGTTTTTATATGCGGCCCAGCAAACGTTTGGCAGCGTCAGCGTCTACGTCAGCGTCGCAGCTTCACAAACAAGCAGCACCCAAGCAGCGCCGAGCAGCGTACAACAAACACAATAGCTGGCGTCGACGACGCTGTCGCGAAGATGCGAACAAGTGGAATTAAGCAGAAGACAACAGCAGCAACGGCGGCAGCAGCAGCGGCAGCAGCAGCAGCAGTAGCAGCAGCGACGGCAGCAGCAGCAGCGGCAGCCACAACAACAAAAGCACTGACGCCAGCACATGCGACGCTGCGCAGTCGCTGTCGCAGTCGCTGCTCTTGCTCACTTTCGTTGGCAGCAGTTCTCTCACAGAGAGAGGCCAAAAAAGAAGAGAGAGAGAGCGAGGGAGACAAAGAGAGAGAGAGAGAGAGCTTAGGCTTTAGCTGTATGACCGTGCTGACTTTCAGTGCAGGCGAGTATGCTCAGCTGAGCAGATCAGATCAGATCAGAGCAGAGCAGAGCTTCTTTAGGTATTTTTGGTATCAGACGCAACTTTTCCAAAAAGCCCTTCCGCTATATTCGAGTGTTGACTTGTGTTGTTTTACTAGTTTGGTTCTAGTTTTATGTTTGTGTTTTTGTCTGTGGGTAGTGCTGTTTTTGGCTTGATTTTAAGACCGGCAGCTAATTGATTTTTTTCTGCTTAGTGAGTTTTAGGAGCATTAGGCAAATTTTTTTGTAGAGCCGAAAACATTTTATGACACCCAACACATTTGCATTTTATGCGGTAATTCTATTTAATGAAACAGGCAATTTGTCAATTTTTTTTTTTGCCACTTGCCTACAGTTTCCTTTTTTTTTTTTTGCTTAAGCACGCAAAATTTTATAGCTGGGAAATAATTAAATCTCAACGTCTGTATTAAAGGCAGGCAATTAAAGTCCCAAACAAATCCGGGTTGATATTCTAAGCAAAACGTCATCGTCATTCGGCACTGTCATAGCGAAAGCCAAGATGCTGATTCACAAGGCGGACAAAACGAATACAATGACAGGATAGTTTTAAATGCGAATACTGTGCACAAGGCAGACAAAACAATTAATTAACAAAATTAAATATTGATCGCGCTAAAGCAAAAGACCGCCAAAAACAAATAAGTCGAAAGAGTAGCCCAAAAAAAAAAAAACAGCCATCGAATTTAAACAAACCCACTGCTTTAGACGTGTGAAAAATCACGTGGCATGGGGAAATTGGAATATTCGTAATACCGTAAAAACAACATCGAAACCATAACAAAATTGTGTGTTGCAAACTGAAATTTGACTCTATTTTGATGAAATATTACGATAGCTGTAACAACTTAAGGCCATGTTAATTTTTTCCAAGTGCTATTTTTTTGCATGTCCCAAAAATAACCATCATAAACCATCGTTTGGGATGATGCTGCAAATGGGTACACAGAAATTAATTACGCTTATCAGTGGCAAGCAATTAACGGTTAATTAATGAGGCTAATTGGGACTTATAGAGCGTTCTGCATAATTTGAAAGTGGGTCAAGGCAGCCGCCAAAAATTTGCCAGGCTGATTTTGTTTTTTTTGTTTTTTTTTTGGTTTTCTGTTCCTTCAAAGCTGCAAATCACTTTGTTGACACAATTGTTGACTGACTTTGATAATGTCAACTCGAAAAGTTTCAGCAATACCAGTGAAGTGCAAGTCACACTCAGAGCTTATCATATATGCAATTTTCAAAGTCTCTGTGATTGTAATTGAAGAGTTTTGTGGTGTTGTGTAAGGTTGCGGTTGGTTTTTGTTGGCCCAGTCCAAAGGCTGAGCCGCACTAATGCATACTTTGGCCCCGTGATGAAAGCTATTAAGCATTATTGTGTAATTACTGGCGGGTCAATAGCAGACTGATTCGCGAATCAAATGCACATTATAATAAAAGCATTTCAGTTCAGTTCAGTTCAGTTTGCTTTTTCACATCTTCGTTATCTTTTTCTTTATGCTTTATTGCGATTCGATTTGGGCTGTTATTAATTGAAGAATTGAACAAAGCCAGTTCAATTAAAGGGTGCATTATACCATGCTGGGTGAAATTTCAAATGCCCCTATTTAAGTCTGAAAAGCCAAGCAAAAATGTTAAGTTCAACAAGTCAATTTGCGACAGGCACCATTAAGCCTCTGACTGCTGTGCATTTCCCTTCGCCTACCCGCTTAGTGCTTAATTCGACACTTCAAGTTATTTTTGGTACACTAATATTATGAAATTATTCATAGCTTACCCGTTTCGGCAAATTAAGAGAAAAAAGCTAGAAATTCCTGATATAAAATATATTTTTTATACATATAATAACCGGGAAAGTGATAAAAACAAGTTTGCTTAATATATCCATTCAATTTAGAATTAAGCAATTCGTATTCTTAAATGGCACGCGAATTCTAATAAAATTCTTCCCTTCCGACCATTTCGTATAATTTTTAGGTTGTGTTAAAAATATTTACAACATTGGAATCAAAGTCCAGCCATATTTGGAGCCTAGAATTAGAACTAGTTATTGCTAGTTTTAGGCATTTACGCAACTTAATGAATGCTACAAATTTGCTGAAGTAACGTTGATTACGTATTAAAATCAAAATAAAAATAAAACATTATATTTTGCTATTAAACAAGTTTGCCTAAATTATGTAAATATTAATAGATTTTTTTTGGATTATATATATATATATATATATGTATATATAACAATTAATTGCGTAAAATATAAATTTATGAAAAATGTGTCCACACCTGTTTTGAAGAAAAAAAACGAATGTTGAATTCGATATTTTGTAGGTTTGTGTGACCTTTATTATTTTAAAGCATTCATTAGTTGTTATCAAAAATTGATCCATGATGTTAGAAGAAAATATTCACATTTAAAACTGATGGGTAATGGGTTACAAGAGGGATCTGTTATCCAAAGCATCAGCTCTGAAAATACAGTCCACATTTAATAAAAAGTGGTAAGAAGGGAATTTTAAATTTGTGCTGCAAATGATATATATATATTAATTATCGGCAAGAGTTTCGCAATAAATTTGAAGACCACTGATTAACAGATCTTAAAAACGAACCTAATTTCACAACAATCTATGAATCAGTTTCAATAATTAACTCTTCATAAACTAGATTAGCCAGATAATAACCAATGTTAGCGGGTTATTGAACTATTCAATAAAGACATTGATACATTCAGTTTTTTCCTACACATTTTCTGTGACAAGAATGCATGAGTCAAATGGGGTAACTTAGAGGCCATAGTTGTATGTGTCATGTGTCTTTCCGATGCTGGTTAGCCACATGCATCAATTATGCCACAAATGTTGAAGTGAATAATCTACTGACGTCAGACTCAAATCTCCTTTCACTTGATGAAGGCATCAAGAAATGAAGATTGATGGTTAGTTGTATGATGCGATAAAGTACATACGAGCATATACCATATTCCTGTATAGATCCCATTCCCCAGCAACAACCGGTACAAGAATAATTAATAAAGCTTAGCCAGTAGCACAAAAATCATAGAACATAAATCGAAATATGAAATATGGACAGCTAAGCAATTTGTTGCTTCAAAAAGTTAATAGAAATATTTAAAAACAATGTGGGTGAAGAAAACGGCGAGACAAAAGAGCCATAAAACCGTATAGTCAATAACATAGTATCAAATTTGAGCATCACCGGCATTTTTATGACAAACGGAATTCAAGTCTTTGACATTGTCTGAGATTGGATTTTTCTAGTGGAATGTTTCTTGCTTTGTTCTTTATTTTGTTATTTAGAATGTGAGATAATTAAATTACATTTAAAAATGTTTTAAAATTAATTAAAATATTATAATCAATAACGTAGTATCAAATTTTGAGCTTTACCGGCATTTTAATGACAAACAGAATTCAAGTCTTTGACACTGTCCGAGTTTTGATTTTTCTAGTATTATTTTTTTATGTATTATTTATTTTATTTCCTCTATATTTTTATACCAAGAATGTGGGACAATTAAATTACATTTTTTGGTTAAAATTAATTAGAATTCTCAACGATTTTCCATGAAATAGAACGAATACAAAAATCAAGATGCGGAAAAATTGTAAATATGCGTAACTGGTGCTAAAATGCTTATTAATTCTAGAAAACTTGTAAATGGATTTTTAAATCATGTTCATATCATTCTGGCAAATGTTTTCACGCTACCGTATGCCAAAGACTCACAGAGCCTGAGAATGCTGATAGGGTAGCATCGACTTTTATATAGTCTACAATAGTAATTCGGGTACCTAAATGGGGACTTATACGATCCCTATTTTAGTAATTTCCCACCAAGTTGAGTTTATATATGTATGAACTATAAAAAATATTAAACATTTTTACATCTTATATTTTATTTCCAAAGAACTTAGAGCAGTCTCCAGCCGTCTTTAATCTACTCTTTGTCGAATGAACCAAATCAAGAACTATGTTTTGACTGCAGCCGCCAAGCACCCAGTCGTGTTGGAAGACCTAATAAAATGACGGATATGCATATGATTAGTAGGCCCCAAAAGATCTTAATACTGGGTCATAGATTGTGCAATTTATGTATCTCGTGCTGCTAAGCTGACGTAATTGGCTGCTGTCGTCGCGACGTCGAAGAGCAGGGATTAGCATAACTTGAGCACAATCAAGTCATCTGATTCTGATTTCCAGATCAAGAAGTATAACTTCAAAGCTCATGATAGTGATCAATAATATTGGAACTAGTTTTGTCGGCTTCTTGATATAATTTTAACGCATTAAATCAAGGCGTAACAAATTGTTGAGTTTTTAATGTTCCGTAGCTAAACCGATTTGGCCATGCAAAGAGCATTTTTTAATCATAGTCTGTACGGCTAGCAATAATTATGTGGATCCAAAGCACATTTTATAACACACACACACACA